AACTGTGACGTAGCTAGGGTTAGATTCGCTCGGGGAAGGCTACTCTTCCTACACCTTTGAAAAGAAATTACAAAAATTTTACGAAATAATTTTTTTCGCAAGTTTGGGGAAAATATAATGAAAATAATAAAGATATTGGAATTGAATGTTTATACATTTGTTAGAGGTAATCAATCAATACATTAATAAATCAAACTTCTCGGAAGGAATTCAAAGGTCCCTGACCAGCTCCGAGAGGTCTCTATTGTACTCCCTGTTCTGTAGACATTATTGGTTAGTGTGAGAACTCCTGGTTAAGGAGTTAAACAAATGATTCTCTTCTAATCCTATCAATGGCCTGCTGTGACACAAATATATATATTAAATAATAATAATCTCTCACATTTTCTACACAGCCGAGGCCGCAGCCATAGCTCGGTGCGATCTGGTGTGCTTTATGATCTACGACCCGGTGTGTGGATCTGACGGCAAGACCTACGGCAATAGCTGCAGCTTGACATCGTTCAACTGCGGGGTCGCTGAGCCCAGTAAGGTCACGGTGGCGCACACGGGCGAGTGTTGATTCTGGCCATCGCGAAAGGACGTCACGTCGCTTCCTGCAAGAAATGTTATTTTCAACTGTTTGGGCGTGGTTCTCAACTGATTCATTACAAAAAGGATAAATAAATACGTATTATAACATAATGAGTTTATTTTTTTTTGTATGTAAATCGTATATATTTTTCTCTTGTATGTTTTCGCAGTTTAAGTAAAAAAAAAATTATTAAAATATATTTAACAACTATGATTATGGGGATTTTAAATACTTATCATAATTTATAACAGTGGTCCTCAAACTTTTGATCCCAACACGCCAGACATTAGGAAAGAAAACGGGGAAAGGGGGGGGGGTGATTCACTGTTCACCCAGACACTCGGTGGACAGGTTCACTGTCAAACAGAGTCTGTTTGGAGGGGGGAAGGCAGGCTATAGTTTGATAAAGGTATAAGCAAATTGTTATTCACATCAATTATATTATTATAGTGAAAAAAAAAATGAAAAAAATTCAACACACAATGCATTATTTAAAAATGAAGAACAATTTTATTCACAATCGAAGTGTACCTATTTCAGGGGAAAGAATTGGCTTTTTTTTTCTTTCTTTTTTAAAATATTTTTTGCTAAGAAAACTGTCACAGCCACCCCGGTAACTAAATGACGGCAAGGCGGCCCAGGTTAATGCCACATAGCAGGCCGTACCCAGCCGTCTGACCGTAGTTTGTGAACCCCTGATTTATATAAAAAAAAGAATATTTTATAATTTACATTTGCTCCGCTGTTGAATACAAAAATAGATTTTTTTTTTATATCATATTACTATTTGGCTTTGTTTTAGAACAGTGTGTGCGTGGAACGATTTTAAGGCTATAAAATGTTGTTTTCTAGGATGATGAACTTTAGTAAACCCCAGAAATGTTAAACGCAAAAAAAAAAAAAAAAAATCAAATCATGTGACGATTGGTTGATTACTTGTGATTTGGTAGTTGAAGTGAAGATATCGCAATGATGTTGCTATGTTCCTTCTCTTTGCGCCGTTTCTGCTTAACCATAGCTACATAGATTATATCTGTTATACGTTTAAAAAATAAATGTTTAATTTTGTGGGTTGTTGTTGTTGTGGTATCCCTAATATGATGTTGGATTGCAAGATGAACGATAACATGAACCGTATCACCTAGTCTATTGAACATAACGATGTTCAAATCCGTTTTTGTGTGTGTGTGTAAGTCTCAGTTTTCAATGGTGTTAAAAAAAAATTCTCTGGTTGATCCGAACAAATTTAACAGACGGTTTAGCTTCGGAATACGTGATATATTTGAATTCTTTTTGGTTTGGTTGTTAAAAAATAACATTTTGTCTTTTGACAGGCAGGTAGAAAGTAGAAACTATCTTTACCTTAACCTACCTTCTTCACGTTACTGATCACGATTTTCTCTTATCTTGCCTCGCATAAAATACATTAAATCGGGCGACTGATTTATTCTTGGAGTATAAATTGTGGGCTGTTACCGCAGCTAAATTTTTTTATTGAGGTAAATATCAAAAAATAAAAAAAAGAAAAGACAAAAATGTTGCTCAAATTCGTGCTCGCAGCTCTTGCCGTCATTTTTCTACTTGCACAGACAAACTTTCAAGGTAAGAATTTCAAATTTTAGATATAAGTTTTTGTGAAAGAAAATACTCAATGTCAAAGTAAGTAAGTAATTAAATATAAAAATATCTGCTTGGTGGTGAAACACGCATTCTGAAATTTTGATGTACCATCAAGTTTCTAAATGTTACATTATTTTGACTGCATTACTTAAGAAAAGGGTCAACGGCGGTCTCTAAGTTAGTGAATACAGTGGCGTAGCTAGGGTTGGCTTCGCCCGGGGAATGCCGCCCCTCCCCTTTTGCCCACATTTCCTAAACCAGTGTTTAGAAATTATAATAATGTTTACAAAATAAAATTTGGTGAGATTTGGGGGGGGGGGGAGTGAAAATATTAAAGAAATTGAAATTGGATATTTCTATTTTTCTTGCGTAGCTATGGTTGGGTTCGCCCGGGGAATGGCGCCCCTCCCCTTTTGCCCACATTTCCTAAACCAGTGTTTAGAAATTATAATAATGTTTACAAAATAAAATTTGGTGAGATTTGGGGGGGGGGGGAATGAAAATATTAAAGAAATTGAAATTGGATATTTCTAATTTTCTTAGAAGTATTCAATCAATCAATCAATCAATTAATCTAATTTATTGGAAGGATTTCAAAGCTCACTTTTCAGCTCTGAGAGGTCATAACTGCACTCCCTGTTCTCTAGACATTAACGGTTACTGCGGGGACTTCTGGTTAACGAGTTAAACCTATAATTCTATTCCAATCATTAAGACGTATTTGTGACACAATCTCTACAGCCGAGGCCGCCACTATACCCCCGTGCGATCTGATGTGCATCATGATCTACGACCCGGTGTGCGGATCTGACGGCAAGACCTACGGCAACGGGTGCAGCCTAACGACGTCCAACTGTGGCGTCCCCGAGGCCAATAAGGTCACACTGGCGCACACGGGCGAGTGTTGAGTCTGGACACATCGTTTTTCATTCAAGAAATGTTAATAACACCTGTTCGGAAGGTTTCTCAACTGATTCATTAAAAAGCTAATACATAAAGACGTATTTTAATATAAAGAGTTTATTGTTCATTCATATCTCATATTTATTTTTCACTTGAATGTTTTCGATAGTCCCTGTTAAAGTTAAAAAAAAACAACTAAATTTAATATATTGAGCCAATTATTATTACAAGTAATTTGAATTATTTCAGATTGTATCCAAACTTATCATAATCTATGACAGGGGTCCTCAAACTTGTAATCAGGTAGCCGTTTCCCTGTTCCCCAGACAATTGGTGGACCGGTTCACTGTTCAACAAATGCTGTTGAGGGCCAGGTTACAATTTGTAAAAATATAATCGTATTTCCATGCACCAAAATGATCTTATTTATAGTGGAAAAAGAGGAAAAAAACAAATATAACATTTATAAGGAAGGACAATTTTATTCAATGACAACGTATAGGTATTTCAGTGGAATGAATTGGTCTGGTTTTGCTAAAAAAAAAGGCAATGTCCTGCTCCACATGTATTATTGCTACCCGGGTAACTGAATGACGGCAAAGCGGGCCGGTTTTATAAAAAAGGGAAAACCGGCCCGGCTCGCGGGCCGTAGTTTGTGAACCCTTGATGAAATAAAAATACTTAAAAAAAATAATTTACAATTGCTACGAGGTTGAATACACATATGTATGTTTTAAAATTTTAAAGAATTATTTTTGTTTTGTTTTAGAAAGGAGCGTGCCTGGAACCATTTAAGGCTTATAACATGTTGACTTTAGGTTGAATAACTTTAATAACAGAGATTGAAAGACAACAAATCAGTCCAAATGAAATACTTTAATATTTACTGGAAATATAAGATTAATCAAAGTTGTTGAAAGATAAAAAATTATAACTATATTTCACATAGCATCGCTTAAAACTTGGGCCACAATATCTCCAATTGATCTGCACTGAGTTTGAGCAGATACGAAATGACGCCGATTAAAGTCGTGTCCCATTTATTTAAATCACGACAATTGGGACGTCTTTTCCTTACACGCGATATGATTGAGAATGGCCCCCAAACTCCAGTGATATTCTGGTAATTCCACGCGACTTTAACGTTCTCTATTAGTCTTGTCTGACCTTGTGTCTTCAGAGAAATAATTCATAAACATTCAAATTATTAATACATCTAAGGTTGTAAAGTCTTTTAGATGGGACCTGGTAATCCGAAAGAAAGTTTTCCTGTGTCAATGATGTCAAGTGTATGTGTGACGCCATTAACTCTAGTGCAAGCTTCGGTAAATCATTGACTTAATCCGAGATTTAAAACAATATACTTCTTAATTTGATGATACAATTACATTCTATCCAACAAAGTAGCACGCCCAAAAATATCATAGTCAAAAATAAAAAGCTTGAAATATATAGACAGGACAACACAAATAGAATGTTTCATCTAAGAGCCTTCTTCAGCAGTCAGGACAAAAGAAGACAGTAAGAAATAGAAAACAGTTCAGAATCTTACGTGTTTGGCGTTCGTAAAATCTATTGTAAATTTTATATTTTAAGTTGTTTCTTATTTTTTCTTTTGTCCTGTCTTCTAAAGAAGGCTCTTAGTCGAAACGTTCCATTTGATATTGATAGAAAGTGTAAAACGCGCTAAATCTTTTTCTTTGTTTCCTCGACTTTTGGTATGAAAATCATCGATATTTATCCTATTTTATTTACGCCTGATTACCGATACGTTGCAATTTCACAGAGCCAAAAATAAACACTAGACCTGATTTATTTTTTCCTTCGTCCACTAAAGGCAGTTTTTGTGTGTGTGTTCTTATCTGGCTTCGTATAAAAATACATGTAAAAAGACGACCACTGCACTCCTAAATTAGCCTTTGCCTTCGTTAGCACAGCTCAGCAAATAATTGTATTCAAGATTAAATAAATTTAAAAAAAAAATAATAAAAGAAAATGGTTCTCAAATTCGTACTTGCAACTCTTTCGGTCATGTTTCTACTGATACAAACCAACACTGAAGGTAAGAAATTACAACTTTAATGAATATATTAATAAACATCTACTTGAGTAAGAAAATAATGAATTTTTAATTATTTCTTAAAATTCAAATATTTTTTACATTATTAGGCGAGGAAACTTTTTAAAAAGAGATTGCTCAAAGCAATTTGACCCTCGCATTATTGTTCACCGCTCTATTATGACTTCAAATGTAAAACTTATTTTTAAAGAATGAGCTTTTGAAATAATTCCAATGAGTTTTAGTTTTAAATCGAACTCGGATAGTATAAACATATAGTGAAGACAATTCTTTTTGTATTGTTAATTTCTCTACGACTTCCATTCACCTAACGGTTTTAAAAGTTTTAAAAAATGATTTTAAAAAAGTAATAAATATATTTCTATTTCTTTTATGCTGCATTTAATTAAAAGAAATCATCATCATCATCGGTGGCACTAGAGCTCATGTAGGGCCTGGTCTGCTCCACCTCAACCGTCAATGAGAATCGATCCATACGTTTATATATTGTTCCCTTTTTCAAATATGTAACATATGCATTGCAAAAATTCAATTGTCAGGCATGAATAGAACTTCCTAAGATCCCTGGGGAAAAAAATGATAATATTAATCACAGTTTACTTGTTTACTTTCAAACACCATATATATTCAAATTATAGAGACGTCGATATAAATATCCTGCCAATTTTCTATACAGTGGAAGCCGCAGTGTTACCAGATTGCATGTTTGCGTGCATCGCCCTCTACGACCCGGTGTGCGGATCTGATGGCAAGACCTACGGCAACGGCTGCAGCTTATCCTCAGCCAACTGTGGCGTCCCCGAGGCCAGTAAGGTCACACTGGCGCACAAGGGCGAGTGTTGATTCTGGCAGTGAGGCCGTCCCGGTGCACGATGGAGAGTGTTGGTTCTGGCAGTGAGGCCGTCCCGGTGCACGATGGACAGTGTTGGTTCTGGCAGTGAGGCCGTCCCGGTGCACGATGGAGAGTGTTGGTTCTGAACATCCGCTTTGTGGAATCGAGAGAAACAAAACAATGCCATGGATTTAAAAAAAAAAAATTAATATAATGATGTAATCAATATTTGAAAAGTTGTACACTTTGCCAGACGAATATTTAACAGGGAAATGAATAACTATAGGAAATTTGTAAGAAATAATTTTTGAGATGGAAACAACATTTGAACGAAATTTTGTTCGATATGAAATAATGCCTCATCTCACAAAAGAAAGGAAAAAAAAAATAATTTTATTTAATGACAGGTTTTTCCCTATTTCTTACTGGCATCGGTCACTCAGAGACAATTAATTAAAATATATTTTTTCGATTCGAAATTTCATTTTACACAAATCTTTGTTCGAACAAAGTTTCGTTTAACTATTCTCCATTGCATGAATTTCCGGATACTAAAATAAAATATAAATGATCAAATAATCAAACTGCTGTTTTCATTTTTAAATGAGTGTAAATTCCTTTTATTGTCCACTGAGTTAGTTAATCAAAATATAATATTTCGGTAATAAAAATTAATGTCCACTCCTTTAATAAAACTGAGTTATGGCTACTATACATGGCACTGAGCTAGATTGTTTCTATAGTTCACATAAAATTCAAGCACCATGAAAATTTCAGAAATTTGTTCTCAAGAAAGGAGAAGTCAGAAGAAATCTGCTCCCAAATGAACCAAAAATCTGCAATCACTGTATTATAAAGATAAATTATGCTAGATTAGATAATGTTGTAAAATGTTCAAAAATATGTTTCGCTTGAATAAACAAATAATTATTGAACTTAAAGGTAACTATAGAAATAATAGGTGTAATACGTTTGGAAAATAATATAAAAGTCAATGAAAAAAATATAACAAAAAAAAGTAAATAAATGAGTTAACCAAAATAAATGTAGATAAAGTAAACATAAGATCATAAATTACAATGAAATGAGACACAAATGCAGCGAATACTTTTGATACATTTTTGGGGGTTTCTATCATAAGACCAGTATAAGTCTAAATTATTAATATACATGTATATACATATACATAATATAATATATATACATCTGTTCCCAAATCTCACTATCATCTACAGGAAGAGTAATATAAATTTACATGTAATAATTTAAAACACTGTTTATTCTCGCTAGAATATGTTGTCAAAAGTTTAAAATCTGTTTATGTTTAATAAAATAATGCTTTGTAAACTTAAAGGTGCACACATAAAAAAAAGGTCTAAATTTTTTATTTTTTTTAAAGCCCAACAAAAGAAAAACATGTTTAAATAATTTAACCAAAATTGATGTAGATCAATTAAAGATAAGGCACAATGAAATGAGACACACATGTTTCTCCATGCTTTCGACCCCTCTTTGGGGGGTCCTTTCATCAAGCAAGATTAAGTCTTAATTTGTATTATGTTGATAGATACATTCCTGATCTAAGATATATTACACGAAAAACATTTTTTTTAACGCTGTGACTATTCGCACCCGGTTACCAGAAGTGAGAGGTTAGCTTAATGTAAGGGCCGGGATCCTTTTTGTCTGAGAAAGCCATGGACACCACATATTTTGAAAAGTAATTCAGTGAGAGCCAAACATTATGTATGAAACTACAAATTTAAAGTAAATGGATGCATTTTGTGTAATTTCAACACTAAAAATGCAATAATTTTGTCTATGAATTCTTTTTAATAAGATTGTTATGCTGTTGCTAATCATTAATGAGTTTTTCTTACCATTAATGTGACTTTTTTTTTTATAATCGAACATTTTTCTGCGTGCCAGATGCAGCCATCAATAGAGCCACATCTGGCTCGCGAGCCATAGGTTGCCGACCCCTGGTCTAATGGGACCGGGTGCGAATGGAGGCGCTGCGTGTCCGGGTCCAGTTTGACTAAATGCTAATTTTATGTCATTTGTGGTCGTTTGTTTTAGTCAAACTGAAGAATCAAGTTTACAAGCCTATAGTCCATTCAATTACATTTCATGTGATACCTCATTTTGTCTTACAAACCCAACAATAATATTTTAAATAGCTTTTTTTTCTCCCACTTCTGGTACCCGGGTGCGAATAGCCACTTCAATTTTTGTAATGATTTATGAATATTTAGAGGGATTGCGTGAACATTACGTCTTGCATTTATTCAAACACATAAGTGTAAACAATCTTTGGTTAATAAAATGATATAGCTACGAATTAATATATCTCTATTTCATCGGTTCATTTTAAGACACTCTTTTTTTTACATTTGACATTTACAGAGTGTCCTATCTTTTAGATGTAGATATTGCTTTATAAGGGCATAAACTGAAACTATAAACTATTCTTGATAGTTAACTTAGAAAAAACCCGCCACAGTTGTTTTCCTGATTTTTTATAATGCTACTAAAATGCATGGCGTCGATTGTCATATTAAAAGTCGTGTTTCTCACAACGCTTACTAACTCGAGAGGTGAGTGAAACAAATTTATGGTAGCAAATTAAAATTATTTATGTGTTTTTTATTGAACAGATAAATATTTTTTGATAGCACGAGATTTTAAAATGAATCTAACGAGTTTTAGCGTTAAAGCTAACTATAGTTAGTATGTTTCTCATCACTGTTTATAATGTGATGTTGAATATAATACATTATAATTGAGTTTCGTTGTCCGAGGCCCTGATTAATTGGGAACTCTCTCGATTACTCTTCTTGTACTTTTTTTCCTTCTTTAGAGTTAGTTATATGTATAAGCCAAGTAAGTTTTTTGGGACCCTAAAACCCTGTTGTGCATCATGTAAATATTTCCTTTCTACGTCACTGGGGATGTATTCATAGCGTTTCTCCAGGAGACATGTGATAGTAAAGAAATGATCTGTGGTTGAGCTAATTCTGTCGTAATCCACATTTATAATCCTTTAGATGTGTTCACCATAACTTTCCAGTTCTCTTGCTTTTAGTCTAGTCAGGACTTTCTAGGTTACATTAAGTAAAGAGATACCGCTTTAAATTTGAACAGCTCGGCGTGTATCATGTGTATTGATATTAGGAGCGCAGTAGCCCAGTCGTTTGACGTTTCTTTCCTCCTGCCAGATTCTGAAACTGAGGTTGAGTATTTGCCTATGCAGTGCCTTTCCATATATTTTTATCAGGTCTGCAGTGAGAAGGTCTATTCCTAAGGCTGTATTATTTTTTTCACGGTACAGATCATATCTTTTGTTTCCTTGAATGTTGGTTGGTTGACTTGACTCTCCTTGTGGTAAATCGAAATCCTCATTGGGCTCCTCCATGTAAGCCATTTATCACGGCTTCAGAGTTGTGTGCCCATCTCAATAGCACCCTCTTGCTTTTTGTGATCATTTCTCAGTCTATACTTTCACACATGTGTAGTCTTGATTGAAATCCGTCGTTTTATCTATAGTTACACTCTCCTCAAATCTCTTTTATTTCACAAATCTTATAAATCTACTATTGTTGACCTTTCCAAATCACGATTTTTCTTTCTACAAAATTTTGAAATAACCCTTCTCATTTCAGTAAATAGTTTACCTTTATAGTGCTTCTAATCTCCCTTTGCAGCAATGTTTCTTTCTTGTATAAGTTCTCTGCTCTCTGCTTCATACTTTACTGTTTTTTCCACCTTTCAGTTTCAATCTTACTCAGTTACACGTTTTAAAACTTGCTTCCTTTATTTTCCCGTTGCTCATTTATTTTCCCGTTGTTGATCATTTCCATTTGGGTTAATTCTAGTTGAGTTAGAATCTTTTGTTGAAGCGACTCAGTCATTTTTGGTCGGCACTTACATTCTGGCTATCGAACTGCTTTGCTCTTTACATCTGTTATTGTTGAGGATGGCAATTTTTGTTTAATTAATTTTTATTTTTTATATGTAGATGGTATGAGTCTATGTCTTTCCCCTAAATCCCAAAAAAATATGTTTAAAAAAATATGTCTTAGGTAGTCATGTCTCCGGTCAATGGGTACGTCATCTATTTGATTCCGGGTGAATCCATCTGGTGATATCAACGTGTCTTCGTGTATTTGTTTATTGGGGAATATTTCGTGGCTGATCATCATTCCTTTAACTGTAACGAAGTCCATTAGACGAGCGCCTTGGTCTTTGCTCTCGTCATGAAGACTTACCTTTTCTATACTATTTTTCGGTCTGTGATCGGGGCATTTTCCAAGTGTTTGCGTTGAAGTCTCCAAGAGCGATTTTTAAAACATGGCGCGGTGTCTCGTCAAATACTTTCTCGAGTGCTTACTTAAAAGTGTCCTTAATGCTTTCATCTATATCTTCGGTTGCAGCTTGAGCGTAAACTAAAGTGATGTCAAGCGTTTTTTTTCTCTTATCCGTATAGATCGTATTCTTTCACTCGTTGGTTTGAGCCCAATCACTGTAATTTACTGTCTCTCTTTCAAATGCAAACCCTCTCCCTGAGTTGTCAGTGTTTTTTCTACTGTAGGATATTGTAAATTTCTCATTGCTTAGAAGTATATACGATTCTTTCCAGCTTATATCCTGCAGAGCAGCAAAAGTAATATTACATCATATCATTTGGTCACGTAGGCGGTCCAGCGCTTCTGCTCTACGTAGACTCAGAACATTCCAGATCGCATATGTCTAAATACATAATTTTCGAACCATTTTAAAAAAAAAAATTATAGTGACTTAGCTTTTGTAATATTGTCTTTTTTTAATAATTTCTTTTTTTTTTGGTTTTTGTTGTTTTTGTTGTTTTTTTTTTTGGGGGGGGGGTTTTTTTAATTTTAGTTAAATTTCATAATTTTTTTTTTTTTTGGTTTTTTGTTTTTTTTGTGTTTTTTTTTTTTGGGGGGGGGGGGTATTTTAAATTTAGTTAAATTTCATAACTATCGTATTTCCAGTTTATGCGGACATACTCCCCTGTGACCTGGACTGTTTCCCGGTCTATGACCCGGCGTGCGCCTCTGACGGGAAAACCTACGGAAACATCTGTGAAATAGATGCTGCTAACTGCGGCCTGCCTGAGAATTATAAAGTCACGTATTTGCACAAGGGAATGTGCTAATTTTAACAAAACGTAGTATATTGATGTCTAGCCCAGTAGGAAAGTTGATGGGTTTAAATTAGCTTTGCCTTCAAACTAATAAAATAATTCTTCTTTGATTTCAACAGAGCATTTTTTCTTGTTTTCTTTAAACAAAATAACTTTGTTATGACGGTCTGTTGAGTTGATTCTTCGTTATGTTTTACCTAACACAATATGCCATGGCACTCTGTGTCTTTGTAAATAGAAGCATTTTTTTTTAATATTTAAAAAAGAACAAATACATGAAAAAAAAAATGTTTGTATCTTTAAACACTAGAAAATGTCTGTCTTTTTGTACACTTGTTAAAGAAAATGTGTGCCATTTATACATTTTCTTTAAGTGGAAATTTCAGTTTAATCAATTAATAGCAGAAGTCTTTTT